GGGAGCCCTGCTTCAAAGAATATCAGTGTGTTGAGAAGCTTAAGAAGGAGAAATCAAAATAACTCTACTATCCAAGAGCAAGGAAGAGCATTACGTGGAGAAGAATCTCCTACTTAACCGGAACTTGTTGGACATGAAATAAAAAAAGCATTAGCAATCGAAATCCATCAGTAATTTGCATTGAAATTTTTGATGAAATGAAATTTATCCACAACATTCAGGTGATAGCCGCAAACAGAAGACTTCATCAATGAGTAACAAATGCAACAATGAAACCATTTCTGAGACACTTACACATCATTTGGAAGTATTTCTTCGAATAAAACTGCTCTGTACGTGATACTTGTGCCCGATCTATGCGCGACATGTAAATCCAACAGGCAGCGCCCTTTTCAATCATACACATGTCCAGCTAGATTTAATCATCATGCGTGAATCATCCGAATTTTGTCATGTGCATAGCACGACTCTTCTTCCAATTGTCCAGTCATTCATGTCCCTTTCCTTCCAACCCAGTTCTACAATTTTAGTTAAGTACTAAATAATTGTTACCAATGACAAAGTCTGAATCAGACAAATGTACTCAGGAGGTATGACTAAAATAAGGATGGAGTTTTTCATAAAAAACACTGCAATATCTTGTATCACGGTTAACATGGCCGGTATGAAATATATGAAAAATTAACATATATAGGGACTTGCTGATCACTTACGGAAATTTCTTCAAACATCTGTTCACAACTAAAAACTCCGCCTATGTCTTCTAGGCATAGCCGGTCCCAAGCCCGGGTAAAGGAGGAGGGTTGTGATAGGCTTCGCGAGCCAACGTAAAAACTAGCCAGTCCCATAGGTATGAAACCCATTTGAGCGAGAGTAGTACTAGGATGGGTGACCTCCTGGGAAGTCCTCATGAAAGGGTTTCATATCTAAGGGTTGTGATAGGCTTGGCGAGCCAACGTAAAAACTAGCCAGTCTTTTGGGTATGAAATCCATTTGGACGAGAGTAGTACTAGGATGGGTGACCTCCTGGGAAGTCCTCGTGAAAGGGTTTCATATCTAGCCTACCCCAACTTGTTTGGGATAAAAGGCTTCGTAAGTAAGTAAGTATCTGTTCACAACTAAACCATCAAAGATATAGTATGTAAGAACTAAGAATTCTGCCCCTTGGCGTTATGACCATTTCATCAAGCATCTTGTGTACGGTGTAATTTGTGCAGAAAAATTGAATCATAGAAAAGAGGGTGATTTCCTAAACGAAGAAATAAAGTGGCCTTCCTCACCTTCAATCTTGTTGGCCTCTTTCTCCACAAGTGTTGCCGCCAAGACCTGTACTGCAAAGTTCCGCCACCTCCTTTCAGGAGCAAGGCCACCATGACCTTCCGCCATGGCCTCTCAACCCTAGCACGAGGAAGAGGTGGAAATCAGAAGCAAGGCCACCACGAACGTGATGGCGAGGGCGCGTGGCTGTCTCCCTCGCTCCATCCAGCCGAGGCACGGCGCCGCAGCAGACGGGTCTCGGCAGCCGACGCAGCAGCACAGAGGAGCGGGGGCGGGGAAGGGAGAATGCAGATCGGGAGGTGGGGTATGGGGCTGCAGCGCGGAGGAGGCCCGACGCAGTGGGAGGCTAGACCGACAGAGGAAGAGGTCGAAGGCAGCAACGGCAGCAAGCGCTGGAGGAAGAAGAGCGGCGGTGGGGGCGGTATCCGAGGACGGAGAGAATGGACGTGTGAGGCCAACCCCACCGCGCGCGACCCCAAACGGACGTCCGTTTTGTCCGGATTCTGTCCGTTTGGATAGGCGTTTGGGGCCGTGTCCGGGCCTGTCCTGGGATGCGGTGGCCGTGCGCGCAGCGCGCGGCCGCATCCATTTGCCCCATCCTATCCGCGTCCACTTAAGAAACTAAAAAACAGCATTTCACATGCCAAGCCGTAGTTCAGGCCAGCGGCCCCGGTTCACCCGCCGGCCTACACGTCCATCGCCGGCATCAGCCAGCGGCCGGCAACACAGCCAGCCTCCAAAATGAATAGTTCTCCTCGCCGGCAACACAGTCAGCAGCCGGCAATACAGCCGGCCTTCAAAATGAATGTTTTCTCGCCGGCACACTGCCAGCGGCCCCGACGGGCGGGCGGCACCCATGCCAGCCTCAAAAAGAACGGCCACGCCGATCGGACAACCTAGTTCAGGCCTTCGGCGTCGAGCATCTCCTTCTGCCTAGCCTCGAACCAGGCCCTCGTCTTGTCGCTCATCTTCGACAAGTCCACGCTCATGATCGCAAGGGCCACCTCCTTCGCTTTGGTGGCGACGTCGGCGACTGGCAGTGCGTAGGCCGGGCGACCGACGAGCTGGTGCTCGCCGGGGCGACGGCTGCTGCAGGGAACCCGGCAGGACGGCCCATGCCAAGCATGAGGATGGCGTGCGCTTTGTTGACGAGGTCCTCCTTCTCGTTGGCAGCGGCCTTGCGCCGCGCGGCCTCCAGCTCCTCGCGCATGGCGGCTCTCTTGGCCGCGGCGGCATTGAGCTTGACGACCGCTCTCCGTTCCCTCCTCTTCGCCGATTCCGCGTCCAACTTGGCTATCTCCTCCGGCGTGCACTCCGACCGCGGCTTCCTTGGCACTTTCTTCTTCACCTTTGCGGGCGGGTCGACGGCCAGGCCGCCGGAACTCGGCGGGGCGTCGGCCATGGACGGAGGAGAGAGGGGGCGGCGGGAGGGAGGCGGGAGGGTTCGGGGCAAATGGCGCCAAATGGGCATGGGGGGGGGGGTTGGTTTCTCCCACTGACAGGCGGGCCAGGGGAGGACAAGCGCGCGCGTCCCGCCCGTCCGCGCGCTGTCCGTTTCACCCCAAAACCAGCGCAAGTTTGGGCCGGGGATGGGTCGAAAGCGGACACAAAACGGACACAAAGTCCGTTTGCGCCCGCGCGCTGGGCCGTCTCTTTTGTCCGTTTTACTCCAAACGAACGGGGGCGAACAGGATAGGGTCGCGCGGTGGAGTTGGCCTGAGGAATTTGACGGAGTCAACAAATAAAGATCCCAAAACCAGACCCATTTACCGCCTTATACAACCCTGATGCACCATAGGCTCCCATTTCCTGGGAGCCTAGTATCTGTAGCAATGTTATAGCTAGAGTGATTTTCTTAACCTTGACTTCTCTATTGATAGTTTTATAGAGATTGGGTAGAAGTAGGGAATCTAATAGAGTTGCTCTGAATGAGTGTGATTGTGTTTCATCTTGGAGTGTACACATGACATGAGGGGAGCTACTTCTTTCGAAGTTGGGGTCATCTCCGGCGCTGATTCTCATCGGACACCATATCTGATTCGTCCACGGACTGGTGGGACCAGTCCAAGGACAGTGATGTGGGAGCCGGCCATCCAAAGCTAGCCGTAAATGTCCAGTCATATTTCAAACAGAATTTAATGAAAATAAACAAATTTGATGCAAATTTAAACAAACTGGATGATTTTCATTGAAACTTAGATAATTTGACATGAAATCGGACAATATTTCGCCGGTTGAGTTAAACAAAATCTAAAGTATCCTATACTAGACGGTGACCTCGTACGCCATGCCAGGCAGGCCGGCGGCACCACCGTCGTTGTCATCGGAGTTGTCGTTGTCGGGCTTCAAGCAGTAGTAGGGCACGGGGCGCAACATGACTTCCCAGCCGCTGCCTGTCGCTCCCGGATGATCTTCTCCACTAGCTCCTATGCCGCCGAAGGTTCCACCTTCACCCGGCGGCAAGGTGGCGACGACGACTCCGGCTTGACGGCGCGGAGGAGCGTCTCTGATGGCGTCGTTGAAACGACGTTGTAGAGGAGCAAGCACCGGAGCATCAGCTCCATCTGCTCCTCATACTCGGTGTTCATCATCGCATACACCGTGTCCTGCGAGAGAACGAATGTCTGCGGCGGCGGCTATTGTTGCGGCCACTGGTCCTCCTCACCGCCGGAGGAGATGACGATATCCTCCTTCACGGTCCAGGACTTGCCCTTCGCCGGTGAGTGAAGGAAGAAAGGAGTGGCGGAGGTGCGTGAAGATTTGGAGTGAAGAGTGTGTTGTGGACGTAGACGACGCCAGCGCCGTGCTTAAATAGACGTGGTCAGGCGAATGGACGGTCAACCTACTAACGCAGCGTTCAGAGTTTGTTTCTCGGGACGACGCGTCCAAGCGGTGTCGCCCGAGTGGTCACACCGGCCAGCGCCCTCCACCGTCTGATCACATTGTGCAACATCAATGCCAGCTGTTGCGGGCTCTGAGTTGGCTTGAATTCGGGCGACAAGCGGCGCATTCGTTGAGAAAGCGTGGGGAAGGGTTCTTGGTTGGGTTAGGTCGTCGGACGCGTGCGTGGCAGCGATCCGAATGCTCGTAAATCCTGTGGCTACGTTGGGTGATAAAACACATCTAGACTGACTGGTCCCAATGAGTGTGGGGTGGTCGTGAGGGTCCCTAAGGCCTTGTACAATCCAAGGTGCTTAGGAGAGGTGCTTGGAGTAAGCATCGGTGCTTATTTGTACAGGGCAGACACTTAATTAGGCGTCTCTCCTGTAGAATAAGCACTGATGTTTCAGAAAAATTCGGTTTATTTTTCTAAGCACCTAGCATTGTACAAGACCCTAGTCGGTTCTATATAGAGCGTGAGCTTGGGGCTGGCAGGGCAATGACTCGCCCACATGGTGACATGTTTCAGGTTTCAGCCCGGTCGGATTGGAGACTCATGGCAGGGCAGTGACTTGGTTGTGATTAAGGATTAATAAAAAAAATCAAGCGCAACTCTTTTTTGACACTCATGGTGGCTCAACATTCATTGCATTATTAGTAGCTATTCAACCATACGAGACAACATAGGTCACATACACTCAGATACCATAACATCACGCTAATGACCACACAATGACAAACATATATAGGTCACATACTCAGGTACCACACCATCACACAGCTATTTAATGAAGACAAACTCGCGCTAAGTAAGCACCACAACTGATCGAGCGAGACGGCAGCTAGTTGTGGTCGTGGATCTGCTTGACGAGTCCGAGGTTGATGATGCCCCAGGCGGAGCGCGGCCATTGTTTCTCCTTGGCTTTATCCCTCATCACCCTCCCCCATGACACCCACCCCTCCCATGACATCCTCTTGTCCCAGCTGCTGCCCCACTCCACCACCAGCCTAAGCCCCTCCTCCGCCGCGGCCTCCGCCTCCTCCCACCTCCCTCCGCCGTTTAGCAGCACCTGAGCCAGCACCAGCCACGGCTCCCCCACGTACGGGTTCTTCGCGATGCACCGCCGCAGCAGCGACTCCACGCCCTCCTTGCCGTCGCTGCAGATCGCCTCCCAGTACAGGTCCCTCGCCGCGATCTGCTCGCTGGGGTCCAGCACCTTGCTGCACCGGTCGAACACGGGCGGGAGGCGAAGCTCCAGGCCCGCGTCCTGTTCGTCCGCCGTCGTCTTCGTGGACCCATCCTCCATGTGGCGGAGCTGCTCGTCGGTGGCGATGAGGCGGTACAGCGCGGCGAGCCTGGACATGGCGCTCATCCACAGCCCCGGCTTTCCGGTCCCCGGCCAGAGCGCGGCCCAGTTGTCGCCGGCGAACTCGAGGCGGCCGTCGTCGTTGCGGAACAGCTTGTCCTGGTAGTCCGTGTACTGGTCGCTGAAGTCGGCGACGGTCATCAGCACGAACACCGCCAGCACGCGCCGCGACAGCGCCACCGGCTCCCCCGTCCGGATGTGCGGCACCACCACGCCCTCCTCCGGCACCACGGACCGCAGCTTCGCGCGCCACGGCTCCGCCTTGTCCTCCGGCCTGCCCCCGCCGGAGCGCGCGGCCTGGAGGGACGCCTCGGCGGCGGCGAGGTGGTCCCGGAGCTCGGCGTCGGTGTAGCGGAGGTGGAGGTCGTCGTGCATGAGCGCGTGGCGCGGGACGACGCAGAAGAGGTGCACGAGCCGCTCGGCGGCGGCGCCGACGATGCCGCGGACGCGGGCGCGGCTGACGTCGGGCTCGAAGATGGCGAGGTTGACGTAGGAGTTGGAGTAGGAGGAGTGGAAGAGGCCGCAGCGGGCCACGGCGTCGGGCGCGCCCCAGAGGCGGAGGATCCGGTAGACGTCGAGCAGGTGGGCGAGGAAGGTGCCGTGCTTGTGGTAGCACTCGCCGGCGCCGGCGGACACGAGGACGGAGACGAGCGAGGGGAGCTCGGGGTCGACGGCCGCGAGGTCGCCCCGGAGGAACGGGCGCGCGGCGGCGAGGATCGACTGGAGCGCGTCGTTCGTCGATGGGCCTGTGCCGTTGCTGATGCCGGTCGCCATTTCGATGATCCCGGCCGGTGTAGTGTGTGTGATGTGTGTCTCACTCTCACTCCTGCTCATGTGTTGTGTGTGCGTGCGTGTGGAGTGTCTATTTATAAGCCAATTTCTTTACTGTATTTGATCATTAATCACCGTGGGTGAAATGTTGGTTGTTTACGAAAATGAATAATTCAGTGGCCTCATGCATGCATATATGCATAGAGCAAGGTCACGTAGAGTAGTACCTAGCTAGGCTATGATGCCAGCTGTTGTCGTCCCGTGAACGTTGATGGAATGTGTCCAAGTTAGCTTTCCAGTGCCGTGTCTGGAGCCTAGCACGTACTACTACGTGCGTACGTGTTGTTCACGAGCTATGTCTGGCGTGCACCGATGAACCGACTACGTACATGTACATGCAGAAGCAGACAGTATACGATGCGTGACATCGATTTTTGTTGCTTTGTCAGCTTTGGAAGCAGTATTTACCCTCATGACATGTGTACATTACATAAGCAGGATGAAAAATAATCACACTCACTCAGAGCAACTCTATTAGACTCCCTATTTCTATCCAATCTCTATAAAACTTTCAATATAAAAGGCAGGGTTAAAAAAAGAAGGAAAACATTTGGGTATGACAGTCGGGCCGAAAGCTTTCCGCTGGTCTCACGAGCGTCGCTCAATCCCAATCACTCTGGCGGTCCACGTCAGCCTCCTTCCCCCGCACACGTCCCTATCCCTTCTTCCCCACTTTCTCCTCCCCTTCACCCACCAACCGTCCTCACCCCACATTATTGGTGCCCGCCCCGCTACTGGTCTCCCCTAGCGAGCGTGCACCTTCTCTCGTCTCTCTCCCTACCAAAGCTCGGGCTGGCGAGGTGCTGCAACGGCGAGGCGAGGTGTTGGTCACCCAGTGACTAGCGGTGCTACAACCGACGTCCAAATATGCTATGACCGGCGATCCAAAGTGCTACAACCGGCATCATTTTTGGCTACTACGGACATTGGCCACGATGACCACACCCACCAGATGTTGCAACCGCTCTCGCAAATGCTGGTACCAACATAATTTTTTGCTACTATGGGCGATGACCGTGGCGACCCCTCCCGATGGTGTTGGAGCCGGCAGGCTGGGGGAAGTTGCAAGCGGCTTGGCGAAAAGCTACTACCCTTTGTCAGAGGTACTGGAATCGGTCAAGTATAAAGCTGCAATGGGCCATGGTGACCCGTGCTTCGACAGCGCAACCGGCGGTGGCCCGTGCTACAACCGCGCCCCGGCAAAGTTGTAACCGACGGTGAGGTATGCTGGAACCGTACCGATTTTTTGCTGGAACCATAGGTCGTTGTGGTCGCTCTCCACAAAAATGTTGCAACCAACGGTGAGCTTTGCTGGAACTGTAGCAATCTTTTGCTGGAACCATGGTCGTCGGTGCTACGTGGGAGGCCACCATGCGACCCGCAAAGGCTGCAATCGGCGGTGAGCTTTGCTGGGACCATAACACTTTTTTGCCGGAACCATTGCCGTCGGTGGTACAATTGCTATCAGCGACGAGACGATGATTTTCGGTTGGCGATGACAAGATGCGAGGGATGGTTGTTTTGACCTTTGATTGACAGCGAGGGACGAACCGACGGTTGGGGAAGAGGTGCGGGGGGCACGCAAGAGGCGGGGAGTGGGTCAGGCGGGGGAGGAGGTGCGAGGGATTCGCAGGCATGTGGAAGAGGATGACCGAGTCCATGCGACCCGTCTAATACGAGCTTGATCGAACGGTTTCTGCAGGCTCTATACGTGGCAGATCGAATGACGGGGCCTGGCCGGCCCAAATTTTGCGCCGGCACACCGACGCCTAGTAGCGACCTAAAAAACCACTCTACCCATCCCAATATAGGCATTCCTATTTAAGGCCTTCAGCACCGGTTGTAGTACCTTTTTTTTAGTCTAAACATACTTTACTTTATTGAGTAAACAAGTTCATGGGGATACAATGTAAGTCCGGCGGGTTTAAGAGCTACACATGGCGCCCGAACTCCAGACCAAAAGCATGTTTAGCGAGGCTATGTGCCTCAAAATTAGACTCTCGCCTTTCGGAGATGAAGGAACAATGCTAAAAATTCCTAGATGTTTCCAAAATCTCTTTTATGATACTTGCATAAACTCCTCCAGTATTGTTCTTGACATCATGAATCACACCTTGGCAGTCCGAGGCCACCAACACATGTTATAGTGCAAGATCCGAGGCTAGCGCCAGAGCTTCACGACACGCTAATGCCTCCAGAGTGGCTGAGTCAGAAATTCCCCTAGTCCGGATGACTGAAAATCCAATATATGTTCCGGTTGAATCCCTGCAAACTGCACTAAATGTACCTTCATTGAGATCACGTGCGACTGCACCATCCACTCTAATTTTCGCCATCCCAAGAGGTGGAGGGATCCACCTTGGTTGCCCTTGGCGTCGTGGCTCAGGAGCCACCATGGTCTTCTTTGGCTTACAATCCTTTAGCTCCCTCACGTACTTCATGATAAAGTTATGCGTCGCTTGGGGGCTTTGGAAAACAGGTTCATGCAAGGCCTGCCTTTTCGCATACCAGATTGACCATAGTGTCACTAGTACCTGCGTGAATTCATCCGAAGATAACATATCTATTAGAGAAAATATCCACCTCTTCGCGTCAGGTTCCTTGGTATTGTTCAAAGCTTCCACCAGTTCGGGATCTTGGAGTGCCCAAACACAACATGCCACGGTACAATGGAGTAGTGAATGCTGCCACAAATCCTCGGCTCCACACAGCCCGCAACTCGTTGTTGTTGACATGTTACGGTCGTGCAATAGATCGGGGGTAGGGATAAACTGTTGTGCGAGCCTCCATAAGATTTTAACCTTAGAAGGAGCATCTATTTTCCAAAGCTTCGTCCAAGCTTTTTGCTCCTTCTCCGTATTCGACGAATCAGACCGGCCCTCAAGCCAGGCTTCCTGCCTCATCTTCGTCTCAATGAGCATACGATAAGCTGCACGAACTGAGAAAACTCCGTTCTTCTCATGAACCCAGGACCAAAAATCTTCAATATGTCGCGCACATAAAGGTATATTCAAAACCGCTGCCGCATCAGTGGGGAGAAAAACATCCGCAATGGTTGCATGATCCCATTCCGCCCCAGGTAAGATCAGCTCCCCAACATACTCTGGTGGATTAGGTACTCGGGATACAATGGGACGCATGTTTGATGGCCTAGGGAGCAAGTTATGCTGCCAAATTTGTGTTGATTGACCGTCTCCAATACGACGGGTGAGGCCCTGTACAAGGACATCGCGTCATTCTAAAATTGATCTCCAAATCTGCGATGGATTCGATCCCAACTCTGCATTCAGGAAGTCGCAAGTGGGATGATACTTGGCTTTGAGCACACGTGCACTCAGCGACTCTGGCTGCAAAAGAACTCGCCAAGCTTGTCTAGCCAGGAGAGCTAGATTTAAAAGTTCAATGTCCCTGAAGCCTAGCCCCCTACAGAATTTTGGTCTTGTCAGGACACTCCATGAAACCCAACTTGGCTTTCTTTTGCCCTCCTTACTGCCCCACTAGAATTTCCGGATGAGAGAATTAATATGCTCGCAAAGGCCACGAGGGAGTTTGAAACATGACATAGAGTACACCGGTACGGCTTGGGCCACTAATTTGATCAATACTTCCTTGCCACCAGTCGAGAGGAGCTTCTCCATCCATCCCTTAATCTTGTTCCACCGGTTGTAGTAGCTACAAGCCGCGCTCTTGGGCCGGCCCAACTAGTACGATCTGATAGATCGCTTCGGTCTGTCATCTTTGGTCCCTTCTTTGATCGATAGGCTGATGGTTGACTAGGCAACTATTTTTTTAGGAGACTGGTTAACTATTGACACTTGACCAACCATTAACCTTTGACCGGATGACCGACAAGTGCTGGCTTCGTTGAAAAAAATGCAAATCTCTAAAAGTACAAAAAACAGGAATTTAGATATTATTTTATCAATTTGAAAAAAGTTCATAGATTTGAGAAAATGTTCATGAGTTTGAAAAAATTGAAGAATTCAAAAATGTTTACGATTTTGGGAAAAAAGTCACAAATTTGAAAGAATTCACCAATTAAAAAATGTGGGCGTTTTCAAAAAAATCAAGAATTTGAAACAGTTCACGGGTTTGGAAAAAAGTTCATAAAAAATTGAGAAAATATTCAAATATTTGCGGAAAGTTCATAAATTTGAAAAATGAATCATGGAATAGAAACAAGTTAACACATTTGAAAAACAAAAATCACGTGTTTTGAAATGTTGACAAAAAAAGAAAAAAGAGAAAGAAAAGCAAAAAATAAAAAAAAGAATAAGAAAAAACCCGGTAGGAAAATTGAATGAAAAAATAGAAGAAAAACATTCCCAAAAGAGCGGGCTGCACCAGCGGCTCGCCAACGTCACCCACGGGCTGCAAGCGTAGAGAGCAAACAAGAGGGGGAAAAAGTAAATGGACCTAGCCCAGAATAGAGTAGGTGTGCACCAGTGGAACAACCTGTATTTGACGCTAAGGGCGCCCAATAGGATTTTGATGTATCCTTCGTAAGAGTAAAACGTGAAACAGACAACCGAGGGTGGTTCACATGTTGGACGATGAGGATCATGTACAAGCAAGACGAGCAAGCATTACTTATTCCGCACTTATGTGCCAAGTAGTAGCCATTTCGTACTCAGCGCCCGCTACAGCAGGCGCGCCGAACTCCTATTTGGCGTCCGCCGGGCTGTTTAGAGTGCATTCTGTTAAGGTTTACCCTAAACGTTGCCCGTTTCTTCAATTCTGACAAATGAGCGCACACCCCCGCGCGGTGCTGGGTCGGCCCGTCTTTCTTCTTTTTCCCGTTCAATCTGAAGCGAGCGAAAAAATTAGCACCGAACTACCAATTGGACTAGGAACGACTTTGTGCCTATATGTTTCTTCCGCTTCTTCTATTCTTTCTCTAGGTTGTGAGAACTTTTTGTGCCTTGTAATTTATGTTTTTTAAAGAATAGATGAACCCTTTTTTTCTTCAAGAATGTTGAACTTATTCCAACATCCATGAACTT